AGTAAAAAAAAAAAAAAAAAAACTATTCTTCAAAATATCTTCTTTTTTGTTCTGCAGAAATCAAACAGGTTTAAAATGACATGAGGGTGAGTAAATGATCACAGAAATCTTTTTTTTTTTTTTTTTTTTTTGTGAACTATCCCTTTAGGCACATATCTAAACAATATCACGGTTGTCTAGAGTGCAAACTAGGTTTTGAGTACTTTCAAAGTTATTTTACTTCATATAAAATCACTTTACTGTGATTTCACCGGTAGGCAGCTCACTCAAGGGATCCTTCTCTGATTGGCTCTTTATGGCAGTTACATTTCTCATGCAATTTCAAGGGTTGTTCATTTTGGTGTGATTTTCATTATCCGTGTCTCTTTACAACCTTTTACTCTTTCTCACTCTCTGCCTCTAACCACTAAAGCTCAATAACGTTCACCCTTGTTAATTAATTTATGTCATATAAAAACAATATGCCTCTGAAATCCTTTGCTTTGATCTCAATCACATCAGGGATTAAGTACGGCCTATTTTTATGCCTGAATGAAACAAATCCAAATCACTAGTCAGTGTTAATCAAACCATTTTGATTAACAGCCTTTTGAGAGTGTCTCAATACATGGATAGAATAAATGCTATATTGTCAGGTGTCTTGGGGTGGTGAAATGCAGAGATAATCTGAATTTAATCTTGCTATTAGATATTATATCTAATATATATCAAAGAATAGATAGTATAACTAATATATATTAATGTTTTATAGATGCTGGAGGACAGCTAGAATTTCACACTGTCATTATGACACTGACCGCTCTGATCAAAGTGGCTATGAGAGAGAGAGAGAGAGAGAGAGAGAGAGAGAGAGAGAGAGAAAGACACTTCAGAAGACTGAAGACAAAAAATTATTGGAAAATCAGTTTCAGTATTCAGAAATCTTTATGCTTCAGCATACCAAGACATTTTGGACAATGCTGTACTTCCAACTTTATGGTAAGGCCCTTTTCTGTTCCACCATGACTGTGACCCAGTGCGCAAAGCAAGGTTCATAAGGACATGGTTGGACGAGTTTGGTGTGGAAGAACTTGACTGAGAGAGCCCTGACCTCAACCTCATCGAACACCTTTGGAATGAACTGAAACAGAGATTGCAAGCCAGGCCTTCTCGTACAACATCAATGCCTGACCCCACAAATGCTCTGCTGGATGCAGTGGCTCATGCCCATTCAAAGTGAGGAGGCACGTGCCCCCTCAGATTTTTGAGCCAAGTGGATTTTGAATGCAGCTTCCAAAAGACAAAAAATAATATATAATAATAATATTATATTTTAATATTTTAATATATTTTCATTTTAATTTTAATAATATTTTCTATATTTGATACAATCACACCAGCATGATTAAATCGTTCAGTGCCGTCATATCATCAGCTGCTAAATTCAAATCTGCTTTTGCTGGCTGGCGCTGAGCCAGAGACAGACGTGTTTTTACAGCACTGCGCATCAATGACCAATCAGATGTGTTCAGATGAGTCATCGCTAAAATGCCGGTGTTTTCTTCACTCGCTGGCTGACTGAATCAAGAGGGTCTAGCTGCAGCCTCACACTTGCACTCTCACACTTGCACTCTCAGACACTTGCGCTTCCGCTAGCGACGTCACTTGCAGTCTTTTATTTTTTTTTATTTTGTTCTATTTATTGATTACTTTTTGTTTGAATCTCTCAACATTTTACAACAGTAGCCAGGTGGTGAAGACAAGAAAAAAGAAACTAAATTACGAAGTCACTTGCAATC